TTGCTAGAGTACTTACACTTGTGCTTGGAGATGTTCTGTAGCTTTCCTTTCCCTTTCTTGGAAGGGTCTAATGCCATAGTGGAGAAAGGACCCTGGAAGAGCACCAAGCCCAGAGCCTGAGGGAGCAAAGCACTCAGTATGGGAGACACGATGTTTTCCCAAACAGGGAAAGGGAAGAGAGTACCCTTTTCCCATCTGGCTTCAGAGCAAATGGCATCAGTCCTGGGGCAGAGTGGTGAAGGTAGAAGGGATGCTGGCGTGCGGTATCTTGGCTTGTTTCGAGGCATGCAGAGACAGACCTTGGTTTCCAGCCTTCTGGCTAAGCAAAACCACACTGCAGAAACTTGCTAGACATGCCCAAAGTCTTCAGGGTGTCAGCCCCTGCCCTGCCACAGTGGAGGACATGGGAGGCCCACATGTTCATCTCAATGTAGATCTTCTCGGTGAGATGGATCTGCTATAGCTGCTGTTGCAGATGCAAGATCTGCTCCAGGACCCATGGGATGCTGTTGGTGCTGGGCACAGGCTGGCAGTGCACCTGCACTCCACTGATTCACTGCCAACTTGGTGTCCCAGAGAGCTTGCATGGGCACCTTAGTGTTGGCTACTTTGCCTGTGGGTAAATAGCTTATGTCCTTAGGTGTGGGTGGCAGGGCCATCTCTGTAAGTGCACCACAGACTCCACACCCGGCTTCTCTTTCATGTCCCCTAAGCTGCCACTGTTCTCCTTCTGGCCATCTTTATTGCTTGGACTGGGTAGCTGGTGGCTCAGTCTGGCTCCAGAGAGCTGTCATGGCCTCTCACTGTCATTCCTGATGAGGACAAGGGGATTTTTAGCACAATTTTTCTTATGTTCTAAGAACTCAAGAGATGCTAAAGAACTGCACAGTATTTCTCACAGGCGTCCAGTTCCTCCCGATGAAGCCATTTTACCATGTAGCTTTGTCCTTATTTGCTTCATCATCATTCCCTTGGTGATCCATGGGAGCACCCCAGGCCCCCACCACTGGTGCCATTCAGGCTGCATCTGTGAACTCTGGATTCAGTTGCTGCTCGCCCTGGTCCCCCTCCAAGCTGGCATGTTGGAGTTTCGTCTGCTTGCACTTCTATATGGTGTGAGCACGGGGCACTTGGAAAGCCACAGTTCTGGCTGATATGTTTTTTAAAGGCTCTTTGAATCCATAGATCCCCTCACTCATTCTTTGTAGTTTGTGGGAGGAAAAAAAAGACCCAAGCTGTTTGTCTTGCAGAGTTTTTCACACTATAAATTTTGCTTACCGTATACTTGTGATGGGTTTAATATGTTCTGCTGTCCTTTGTACTTACTAAAAATTGGCGATGGGATCTAGAGGGCAGTATTTTGTTTAATACAGTGAACAGAAAACAAAGCTATTTTTCACTTCTGTGGGAAGTCTATTGGATTGAGTTACTATTTCAAGTCCACCTAATTTTTTCCCTCTGTTTGGAAATTCTGAAAGACACTGGAGGTTGTGGACTAACAATGGTGTGAAACATTAAGAATTCCACTCTACTTCTGGGAGAGTACACATTTGACAATTTAGTGTTCACTCCCAAGGGTATCCAATTCTGATGGGGAAATTTCCTCATTTCCAAAGAAAAGGAAATTTTAATTATGAAATCAGGTGGAAAGGTTCCTAATGCTACCATTTGGGGTTGAAGCAGCACCGAGCTGTTGAACTTGTATCTTATTGTCTGTTAGAAGATGGAAATGAGGGCAAACACACAAAGGATGTAAGTGATACGCAGGTTGTACTAGGGGTCAGACGGAAGGCAACTACTACATGTAATAAAGAGGGATGAGAGTTAAGGTTCAGAGATTCTTTGTATCACACATAATATGTCCCTAATATTTGCTTTCATTCTTTAAATAAATTAATTTTAAAAAGCTTACGACAGTGGATCAGGTCCAGAACAGAAGTTGCCTAAGTCAAGTGATTAAGGACCCTGTACAGCTCATTAGCTTGACCAGCTCTCTCTGTGTGTGATACACTTTATCTGAACTCAGTCAAACTCTAGCCCAGGGATACTGGAACAATTCTGCAGTGAAGACATCCATCGTATGCAAGATTGGAGGCTCTGAGATTTGGGATATGAGGGTGACTAATTTCAGGGAACACCTGAAGAGGTTCCCTGATGAGGATCATTAGCAAGTAGCAGGGGCTGAAGCCTAATGGTCATTATCATTGACTTTATTCACAGAGGCTGGAATAAGCCTCAGCTGTCTTGCAGGCTGTGATGGCTTCATCTCCCCAGTCCCTCATAAAGAGACTTCCTGTATTATAGCTCTCGTGCACTGGCCTGTCTACATCTAACAGGTTGTATCCTGACTTAGATAGGACTCAGGAACAAACAACAAAGCTTCAATCTCTGGATAACCTTTCAGGACACCCACTCTACTTAGGAGAAGAATAGGGTTTACTGCGTCATTTTTGTTTATCCTCTGATGCCAAGGCCCAGTGCCTAGTGACACATCATCAAGCCTGTACCTTTTTAAAACACTTGGACAACCACGCTCATTTCATTCTACTCCAGGCACCTACGAGCATTTGCATTTGCTACTCAGCTCTAAAGAGAACTCTAATATTGAATGAACCTTTCCCAGTTACAATGTTCTTAGTTCCTTTAGGAACAGATGAATTATATTAATTTTACAAGGGACAACCAGAATTACTAGAAAATCTGTCTCTCAACCTGCCTTAGAACTTAACAGGAGGAGCTGTGTCCTCTGGAGTTTCAGCCAGCTAGTCCAAGTTCAGTGTGACCTCATGCTTGTCAAATGGGAATCTCCTAATTTTTCTCGTTCTCTCATGCTGAGGAAAGAAAGTGTGTCTAATGCCTTGTGAAAAAAAAAAAAAAACAATAAATTCAAATTCAAATAAAAATATTTACTTTTGAATTAGTACCTGTTCTGTCCCTTCCTCCTTCTCTCTTCCTCCCTTGTTCTTTCCTTCTTTGTCGTTCTTTCTTCTCTCTTCCTCTCCCCTTCCTCCTTCTCCTCTTCTTCTTTCTTTTCTCCCTCTCCTTCCATCTCCTCCTTTTCCTCTCCCTCTTCTTCTGCTGCCTGGCTACATAGAATAGTAGTTTCTGTGTATGGAAAGCAGGTGACTTCACAAGCCACTCTCCTCTCTGTCTGCTTCCTTTGGCTTCTTGTTACTACTGTTACATTATCATGCAACATGTGGAACAATATGGATATGTCTATAACAACTAATTGTCCTTTCGCAAAAAAGAAGGGCAGCTAATAAGTGTTAGGAACTCAAAAAGGTAGTGGACTATGTGCTCTTGTGAGGCTAGTAAAATTTTGGAACTGCCTAATTAAATCTCTACATTTTAGAAATGAGAGAACAGGTTCAGGAGAGTTATAACTTTCTCAAGGTCACATAGGTTGTTTGTGTAAAACTTTAATTCCCTCTGCCTACCATTCTATACTGGATATAGCCCACTAGAACACGGCCTTCATAAAGGCAGGAACCATGTCTGTCTTATTAACTAATGTTTCTCTAATGCTTACTATAGCTAAAAATACCTCCTAAATTAGGAATAAACTATACTTAAGTTTCTCAAGCTGGAATATACCCATGGTACATGAAATCATGGGGGAAAAAACAGGTGTAGTTTCATGAGATGGTATTTCAGATTTGTTTGTCTTGAAGATGAGTTTATGTCTTGTAACTAATAATTTAAATTTTTACTTTTAAATTAACTCATACTGTGAAATGAATGGTAAATTTTTGTAAATTTTAAAAATAAAATACATATACATCAAAGCCATTATGTGTCCAAAGAGACTTTTGACCTCTATGCCAGGGAGTATAGTGTTTCCCAGATCTTCCCACGTTTATAGCTAAGCTAGAAATCCAGTTTTTAATGTGATATGTTTTCTTTTAATGTTAAAAACTCAGGTTTCTAAAACTTTGTGTTTTTAGAGCAAAAGAAATAAAAATCCCTGTTCCTGAGCACCTGTTGCAATATCCAAGGAAAATATATGTTTAGACAGGAAGTAGACACTGGACACACCACCCGGGTTCTGTTTGCCATAGCAGTTGTAATTCTGGCCCTAACCACTTCTCAGCTTCAAACTGGCCAGAACTCAGAGGGGAAAGGGTGAAGGCAAGATATTCAATAGGTTAGGACCAATTCCCACCTTACACATCTCTCTTCGTAGGCAGCCTCTAAATGAAAGCAAAATACTTAGATACTTTTAAAATATCATAATCATGTCACAAAAAGAGAGGAGCCAGAGAAAGGAAATTTGAGGAACATTTCACATCTATTCTGATGTATAAGAGGTTGCTGGTATGATTATGGAAAGAAGTCTAAATTTAATTTTTCTACCTCATTTAGTAATGATACCATTATTAAGAAAAATCAATGGAAGGCATTTCTATTACACTTGGATTAAAGCATTCTACATAATAATTAATGCATAAATGTATGAATCATTCTGAAAACTTAACACCTTATGAATGGAATCATCCACTTGGTCTGAAGATAATTGGATAGTTTCCCACCCTCAAGAAAACCAACACGAGATTAATATATTTTGTTTTTGCACTTTTTGTTGCATAATTCTATATATGATACAAAAATAGGTGCTATATATTCTGTCTCAATCTATTCTAAAGAATGGAAGACATCCATGCTTCTAATAAATGATATATCTAGACACTGTACATGAATTGAACTCAGGTTTCCTTGCCAAACCACCTGTGCTGACACAGCCCCAACTTCCTTCTTCCTGTCTGTGACGGAGTCTCTCCCCAGGAGCCCTGTCTCTTGTTGAGGTTTTTGTAGGGCTCCCACTGACACCGATCTCACTGTGGCTTCATTCAGAGCACAGAAGTATACTGCTGAGTCCATGACTTGTGAGGCTGTGATGGTGAGGTTGAAGGAACTGGTGGATTTCTGGAAGTTCGAAGAATACCGACCAGTTATTTCATTTTGTTCATTAAAAGAGTTCTGACGAATAAGGAAAACCAATTCTCCACTTGGTGGTTGCTTGTACCAGAATAAGTAATAAGTAGTCTCACGGGTTTCATACACACAGTCCAAGGTCACATCCTCCTTCTCCACCACAGAAATTTCAGTCTGAGCTTGAGTTACCTTCTGAGCCATGCTGGATCCTGCGGAAAAGAGGAAAAATAGACTGATCCCTTGTTTGCAACACTGGGGATAAAATGGAGTAAGTGGTTTAGGACTTAGTTCTCTGATTTCATTGCCTGTTACCCCTTCTTTCTAAGCCTCATTAGACTACAAAGATCTGCCTCCTTCCACATCCTTCTGAGCTAACAGGAGTCTGAGTTCTGTGCTGGTGGTCCTGCTTACCAACACAGATGGAGGTTATGACTGCCCTCAGCAGGCTGGCAGTCAGCATGTTCATAGCTCTTTCCCCTGAGTGAAATGTTCTGTGCTCTGTCTCAAATCCAGATCTTAATTCTCCACCTTGCACTCAAGAGGTACTAGCAAAGTTACTGGGCTGTGTGAGGCTTCTGCCTTTTACAGGAAGTATGGTTAACAGATATATGACAAGTTTGACTGTGCCATGTCACATACTTCCTGTGTAGATGGAAGATCCTAGACTGTCCTAAGTACCAATTTTGTCTCAATATAACTTACTGGACTGTAAATATACAGTGGTAAAATTGAATCATGGTTAGTTAATTCATCTTTGGCGGAAAATGTGAGGCTTACAATTTATTATGAGCTATAGTGAATACATAGGATGATATAATTATGCACCTTTTGGTCTTACGTATGTCTTTTTCTTCAGATAGAATCAAAGTGCGAACTAACCACACAGGGTTTTCACTCTCTAGCAGGAAGGCAAAACTTTTAGTCTCAATCTTTGTTACTACTTTGCCAGTCACGGAATCCAGCAAAGGTTATGTAAGAAATAGTTTATTGTTAATAAATGATTTTACATCATACCTCTTGAGTCACCAAATCTGTTCAGTGTTTGCCATGTCAAGTAACAGCAGAGAAAAATACATACATGTTTATTTGCACATATATTTGTGTGTGTGTGTGTGTGTAAACAAAAATAAATTCCAAAAATTCTACTCACTGCTCAAATGCAGGAGTTTCTGTTATAACTCAATATGTGTGCTCCTGAAAATGCCCCTGCTATTCCAATCCTCACACATTAATTGTAGTGGAGATTAGGATAGGAAAAAAACCAAAAATATACAATTTATAACCAGAGCATTACCAAAAATCATAGGAATCCTATTAAAATACCAGCAGAGTTCAATCTCCACTGACTTTTGTCCCTTGCAGCACAGTCATTAAACTCTTTGCAGTGTTAAATATTGGGACTTATGTTTCACCCCTTAGATACAGGTTCATAAGAGGTCCTATGTTTACAATAAGACTGGGTTCATCAAAGTTTTGTGTTATTATTCTTCATAAAAAAATATATTTTATTTGATTTATGACTAGGGTAAGAAAAGAATGGGGGTGAGTGCTAGTGGACACACATTTTCTTTGTGAGGTGGTGAAGATATTCTGGAATTAGATCACAATAATGATTGATAACTGTGAATGTACTAAAACCACTGAATTGCAGACTTAAAAGGATGAAGTTTAAGGTATGTGAATTGTATCTCGATAAAGCTGTTTTTTTAATGACAGAAGTGAAAATACTCCCATTAATGATAGCTAAAGTGATTCTAGTGCTGCCGTGGAAAAGAGGACTGGTGGTTAGGGAACCTCTCAGTATCAGGACAAGCTGAGACTATTATAATATTTCAGTCTTAAAGAAGATGATCTCTATGGAACCCCAAATGCAGATTTACCATGAAGTATATTAGGCTTTGATTTTAGAGCCCCTTTCTACCCCAGAACCTAGAAACTTAAATTTATAATTTAATTTTCTTTTTCTTAAACAGCACCCCAGAAATCAAAGAAAAAACTTTGGGCTCTTCAAAACCTGTACCTTTTTATGTGTAAAACTCACAGGATCATGCAGGATAGAAAAAGGACAGACAAGTCTCACAGAACTCCAAATATTAGGAAAAATTTCTCGTGGTGAGCTACATCCCTGAGAGTTTCGGTGAGGGGCCCACATTTCTGTTTTATGCTCTTTGATGTAGAGAAATATGAGATTATTTTCTCCATTTTGGGTCCCAGTGAACAAAATTCCATGTTCATTCACCTCCTTTTTATAAAGTCTTTCTTGGCTGCTAAATTTGATGCAATTTAGAAGGATCATGGGCATAAATGGAATGATAAAAATGTTAGTTCCAAGTTAAAGTAATGTCCCAAATCCAGAATTTCTCATAACACAGATCCTCAAGTCAAAAATCCAGGTCATGATTTAGTGTTACAATAAACAGCTGCCAGGCCAACAGGAAGATCAGTGTGGAAGGGTGTAAACAGTGTGGGCAAGACATGCCATGGATGCAGCGTTTACTGACTGAGCTGTTCTGAAACCACAGTGCTGATAACACAAGGAAAGCCTCTCATCAGCACACTCTCCTCATAGAACTTACTCAGGTAGCAGAATTTCTAAGCAACCATAAGAGAAGGAAAAGTCAAGGGAAGAGAGGACAAATGCCGCAGTCCCTGGAGATGGAGTTTCTGCAGGTGAAACTCGGCAAGACAAAAAACCTTGGTCTCAATTGTAAACACAAGGGAGTAGATTCAAGGTGATCATTAGTCCATGAACTGTTTTCCCTTAGAGTTTTTATTGACAGGTTATGAAGTATTTCAGCATAGACCAACTGAACTGTCACATAGCAAAGTTAATGTCACTTCTCAGGAATGTATGCCGTCTGAGGGGAAGAAGAGACATCTGGACTGAGGACAGAAGCATTTCTAGAAAACAGAGCTTAGGTTCTGCTTTAGACTGTTCCTCCCCCAGTTCCTCTGTGTGGTGTAATGTAAAATCTCCATGGCTTCTTGGCACCAAAGAATCAGAGCTGGAATTACATGGAGCAAGGCTCCAGCGTAGAACCCTGGGGACAGAAAATAACGCCCCCTCCCAAAGCCGCCCACACCCAGGCCCCACCTGCGGCCCCCGGGGTTTGTGCTGGGCTGTCGCTGCAGTCCCTCCCACTGTGTCTCTCAGAACGCAGTAGTACACGGCAGAGTCCGACAGCTGTACCGAGGGTTTCTCCAGATGGAAGGAACTGTCACTCTTGACATGACTGGCCTGAAAACCTCTGCTGTTCGTCTCCTGGTTTTCTGAACTTTTCAGGAGGAACTCAGGCTCTTTGTTTGGATACTGCACATACCAGAATATAAAAGCTGAATAGCTGGTCTGATAAGTGCAGTTTAATGTCAGAGCTGCTCTCTCAGGGAGGGTAACTGGACCTTCTGTCTGGGTCACCGAGTCTCCATTGGTCCTTCCTAAAAAAAAGGAAAGACTTTATTATACTGGCAATAGACAGTATGGTCTCCAGTTTGGAAGGGGTTAAAGGTCATCCTAAAGCTAAGGAATAGAACATCTCAGAAGTTCTGAGTAAACATTACTCACTGATTATCAACAAAATCACAAGTCCTGAGCAGGAAGCAAACAGCATGGCTGGCTGAGAAGCAGTAGAAGGTTTTGTTGAGAGATATCCAAACCGAGAGGTATATTTCTTTATGTTGTTGATTCTTTGACAGAATCTTCTACAAAATCTTGACTCACGTGTTAAGCATGGCAAACTGCTCTACAAATCAGGCCACAGGCGGAATAAAGAGATGTGTGCAGGAAGGAAAGATGAAATTTGTGTCAAACCACAAGTTGAAGGGAGCAGCGCCCTCTTGCGGCTCCTCTCTGTCCCTGAAGCCTGCTCTGAGTCTCGGAATGTTGTTCATTTTCACACTGGGGTGCGGCTTAACGGGCAGACATAGAAGGAAAACGGTGTCCGAGGTGAAGGGTGGTGGGAATCAAGGAAGGAGCATCAAACGCTCTGCTGACTTCACCGTGTGGGTGAGTCCTGTCAACTTCTTCAAGGTGCAGAGCAATATGACTCCCTTAAATCTCCACAGTCCCGGCATCTAGTGTGTTCACAAGTGGTAATTTAGTTTTAGGCGTCTTAGGATATCCTGAGAATATAGATAAAGAAAAAAAATTGTGAGATTTATTCTTGGTATATTTCCCACTGGTCCCCGGAAACCAGGGGGTGAGCCCTTCTGCTTAGAATGTCCTTTCTTCTCCCCACTCCCCTTCACTTGGATGACTCCTGTTCATTCTTTGAAACCAGTGCATCACCTCCATGTGAAAACATTCTCCCAACTCTCTAGCTAAGTTAGTGCTCTCCTTTTTTCCCACCATACTTTCTGTCCTTATCACATCATGTTAGAATCATTTCTGTCCTGTTTCTCAGGCCGCACTTGGTGCTCCTGAGATCAGAAGTTGAATCCTGTTACTATCAGCAGCCCTTTTCCTAGGCCCTTAGCTCATAGGAAATGCTAAAAAAAAAACCTTAAAAATTGGTGAAAAAATGAATGATTGGCTGTATCTGGTAGGCAAAATTATCTTTGATGAAGGACAGTCTGTGGAAAGATGTGTCTTAGGCCCCTGGCATGACTGACTTCATTTAGGAGTAGATCCAGGACCTGGTAGCAGGTGCATTCTATGTTCTTCAAAATCGAGTAAGGTGCAGGACTTCTTAAAAGGGGCCACTCTCATACTAACTTTTTTTTAATATTATGGTGCTTTCATATACCCAACAATAAAATTTGGTATCAACTGTTTAGGCTCATAGGTTTTAAACAATTACCAAATCAGACAAAAAATGCAAACAAAATATAAAGTCGATAAAATTCAAATTAAAACATTAGTGTGAGAAATGATTTTTCACTGAAACTAGAGGGTTAGTGTAGGCTTATTAAAAGAAAGCTATAGATGTGTATAGTTGAATAACTGACTTGATTAAAGTTATTTGGAGCTTGATGTACTATTGTCTGAGTTATTGTGATTAGTGATTACTAGGATTTTTTCTTCACTTTTCCTATTCAGAAATACTCAAGTCAGTCACCATTATACAATTTTATTATTTAATGAAGCACCCAAGAATTCAGCACTGAAAAAAATATGTTTTTTATTTACTGCTACTTTTGTGTCTATTGAATTGTATGTTGATACAAACAAACAATGAATGTTTGCAATACATCCTCTTTCAATGGAAAGATGCAGGTTCTTGGGAGTTTGTGGCCCATCTGTAGTGCAATGTGATATACCTGTAGTGCTGTGTGCTATGTTCTATATCATAACCAAAATTTTCCAAAAACTTTTCACCATTTAAACAGCTGCAATGTCTTCATTTGTAGGGTATTATTATCTCACTTGCCCTTAATTTGGTAAAAATGACATAAATCAAAGTCAAGAAGGCTATTCTATTAGCCATCTAGATGATTAGAAATATTCCTTTATTATGATGAGTTCATGTCCTTTGCAGGGACATGGATGAAGCTGAAAACCATCATTCTGAACAAACTATCACAAGGACAGAAAACCAAACACTGCATGTTCTCACTCATAGGTGGGAACTGAACAATGAGAACACTTGGACACAGGGCAGGGAACATCACACACCAGGCCCTGTCATGGGGTGGGGGCAGGGGGAGGGATAGCATTAGGAGAAATGCCTAATGTAAATGATGAGTTAACGGGTGCAGCAAACCAACATGGCACATGTATACCTATGCAACAAACCTGCACGTTGTGCACATGTACCCTAGAACTTAAAGTGTAATAAAAAAATTTAGGAATAAATAAAAAAGAAATTTTCCTTTATTATTTTATTTTGTCCTAATCACACAGAAAACTGCAAATCTAAAAATTCTCATTTAATTTCTATACCTCAGGGACTGGTGAACTTTTCTCTATAGAAGGACAAACAGTATATATTTCAGACTTTGAAATCATACACTCCCTGTTGCAAATACTAAACTCTGCTGTTAGAGCCCAGAAGCCATCATCACAATGTGTAGATACATGGGCAGGCTATTTTGCAATAAAACTTTACAAAAACAGGTGGCAGGTTGTTTTGAATGCTAGGCCATTGTTTTCTGACCCCCATTATACACCAACAATTTGTTCATACAATTCCAAATGCCCATGGACTATATAGTTTGAAAAACTCAGCCCTATTTTCTTGTGTGTTCTTTCACTACAACATTACTGTAACTCTTAGAGAAGGCTTAAAATAAAGTATATTATTTAAATATATTATATTAAATAAAAGGAAGAAAGAAGAGGAAAAATTGATTATCTTAGTGCTTAAGATATTTTGGTGTTATGGATTCAAGGCTGAGCTCACATATAATGGTCCCTGCTCTTACAGAGCACATAGAGTAATAATAGAGACAATTATTAATCAGATAAAGAAATAAAAGGAGAAACTACACATTAAAAAAGGCAGAGGTCCACAATTCAAAGACAGCATATTGAGCTTTCTTCTATTACTGACCCTTGAACAGATGTACAAGAACAAGTAGGCATTTACTGGGTTCTACTCTCAAGGGAAGAGAAAAGAATTTTTTAAAAAGAGTAAGAATGTATCCTAAAATTGCTTTGAGGGGGTTATGTAAGATGAACAAAGTGCATTCAAGGAACGTAGATAGGCTTCCTGAGCAAGATGGCTGAATAGGAACAGCTCCAGCCTGCAGCTCCCAGAGCAAGCAACACAGAAGATGGGTGATTTCTGCATTTTCAACTGAGGTACCTGGTTCATCTCACTGGGGAGTGCTGTACAATTGGTGCTGGTCTGTGGGTACAGCCCAACCAGCGAGAGCTGAAGCAGGGCAAGGCATCACCTCACCTGGGAAGTGCAGGGGGAAGTGAATCCCTTTTCCTAGCCAAGGGAAACTGAGACACACAACACCTGGAAAATCGGGTAACTCCCACCCTAATACTGCGCTTTACTAAGGGTCTTAGCAAATGGCACACAAGGAAATTATATCCCACACCTGGCCCGGAGGGTCCCACGCCCACGGAGCCTCCCTCATTGCTACCACAGCAGTCTGAGATATAACTGCAAGGTGGCAGCGAGGCTGGGGGAGGGGCATCTGCCATTGCTGAGGCTTAAGTAGGTAAACAAAGCCATAGGGAAGCTCGAACTGGGTGGAGCCCACCACAGCTCAAGGAGGACTGCCTGCCTCTGTAGACTCCACCTCTGGGGACATGGCATAGCTAAACAAAAGCAACAGAAACCTCTGCAGATGTAAATGACCCTGTCTGACAGCTTTGAAGAGAGCAGTGGGTCTCCCAGCATGGACGTTGAGATCTGAGAACAGACAGACTGCATGCTAAGTCAGTCCCTGACCCTTGAGTAACCGAACTGGGAGACATACTCCACTAGGTGCAGACCAACACCTCACACCTCACATGGTTGGGCACACCATGAAACGAAGTTTCCAGAGCAAGAATCAGACAGCAACACTCACTGTTCAGCAATATTCTATCTTCTGCAGCCTCCGCTGCTGACACCCAGGCACACAGGGTCTGGAGTGGACCTCAAGCAAACTCCAACAGACCTGCAGCTGAGAGTCCTGACTGTTAGAAGGAAAACTAACAAATAGAAAAGACACCCACACCAAAACCCCATCAGTACATCACCATCATCAAAGACCAAAGGCAGATAAAACCACAAAGATGGGGAAAAAGCAGGGCAGAAACGCTGGAAATTCACAAAATAAGACCACATCTCCCCCTCCAAAGGAACGCAGCTCTTCGCCAGCAACGGAACAAAGCTGGACAGAGAAAGACTTTGACGAGTTGAGAGAAGAAGCCTTCGGTCGATCAAACTTCTCAGAGCTACAGGAGGAACTACGTACCCAGTGCAAATAAACTAAAAATCTTGAAAAAAGAATGGAAGAATAGATAACTAGAATAATCAATTCAGAGAAGGCCATAAACGAACTGATAATGACAAAAACCATGACATGAGAATTACGTGACAAATGCACAAGCTTCAGTAACTGACTCAATCAACTGGAAGAAAGAGTATCAATGATTGAAGATCAAATGAATGAAATGAAGAGAGAAGAGGAGTATAGAGAAAAAAGAGGAAAAAGAAATGAACAAAGCCTCCAAGAAATATGGGATTATGTGAAAAGACCAAATCTACATCTGATTGGTGTGCCTGAAAGTGAGGGGGAAAATGGAACCAAGTTGGAAAACACTCTTCAGGATATCATGCAGGAGAACTTCCCCAACCTAGTAAGGCAGACCAACATTCAAATTCAGGAAATACAGAGAACGCCACAAAGATACTCCTCAAGAAGAGCAACTCCAAGACACATAACTGTCAGATTCACCAAAGTTGAAATGAAGGAAAAAATGTTAAGGACAGCCAGAGAGAAAGGTTGGGTTACTCACAAAGGGAAACACATCAGACTAACAGCAGATCTCTCAGCTAAACTCTACAAGCCAGAAGAGAGTGGGGGCCAATATTCAATGTTCTTAAAGAAAAGAATTTTCAACCCAGAATTTCATATCCAGCCAAACTAAGTTTCATAAGTGAAGGAGAATAAAATCCTTTACAGACAAGCAAATGCTTAGAGATTGTGTCACCACCAGGCCTGCCCTACAAGAGACTCTGAAGGAAGCACTAAACATGGAAAGGAACAACTGGTACCAGTCATTGCAAAAACATGCCAAAATGTAAAGACCATCGATGCTATGAAGAAACTGCATCAACTAACGAGCAAAATAACCAGCTAATA